GCCCCCATAAACAATGTATGCCAACATAAGTAAATGGTCATAATTTTTAGATGATTCCTTATTGTTTTTTAGCATAGGTTAGTGGATTCACTTAGTTGAGGATGTCCTATACTCCGGCAAGGTATAAGACAATTTAGAAAGTGTGGGCGAGACGTTGTATCATCACGTTGCATATAGTGATTGTTGTCGGTTAGAGAATCTCCCAAATAAGAGTAATGAGTTATTATTGTATTTTTATTTACATTTGAGTTATTATCTACTGTTCTAAAGGTTTCATGTATATAGCATCTTTTATTGTTGCTTTCATTTTGAGGTGAGTATCTTGAGTTGAGTTGAGTATCCTGAGTTGAGTTAAGTATCCTTGAGTTGAGTTGGGTATCCTTGAGTTGAGATTAGTATTCTTTATTCATTTTTAGTTGAGACGATGTAAATATCTCTTCCCTCTTATTAGTTCGAGCTTATACTTCTGTTGTAGAGTTTCCCCTTATAGGCTCGTACATTCCATGTACTGACGCCATTTGGCCTGTATTCAGGATCATCAACATGCATTTTGTTGAGGTCACGTGATATTCCACTCAACTTTGGTGAGCCTTCTCATAATCCGGAGGACTTCAGCTTTACCTTATAGTTAGTAGTTTTGAGATGTCGTGGGTCTTGCCACGATATCCTTTTGTACTAGTAGATGTTTCATAGATAGACAAAGTTGAGTATTTATCTGTAATTTCTTTCTTTGAGTTGTTTTATAAACTCTGAGTACATCTTTTGATGATAGATCAAACTTTTTAAAGTTGAGTAGTTGATGTTGATGATATTTAATTTAGGTTTGAGCTTATATATGCTCGAGTTAGTCTTCCGCTTGTAGTCAGCCAGGATGAGAGTTTGCTTGGGGACCATCAATGGCTCTCGACTGCCGGCCACATCCAGGGTGTAGACTCGGGTCGTGATAGTGGTTTAGGCTTAGAATAGGCGTTAAAACGACGTAGTTTAAGTACGAAATGCAAATGGAAAGACCAAAATTACCCCAGCTTAATTTTTTTTGATGTGTGTTAAAAGGGAGGTTTCACGGACCGTTTAAGGCTCCATGGTCTGTGAAAATTTTTAGTAGCCGTATAGCCGTCCGTATAACTTTTACTTTCTGATAGGGCTTCACTAAAACTAGGCATAAAATTTTACTCCAAACTCGAAATAAGGCAAACTTGCTGGCAATGGAAAGAGGACTCAAAGACCTTTAATTTGATCGGTCATGGATTACAAAATTCATTATGTGCCGATATACATGTTTGTTTAAAGTTGAATGAAAATTTAAAAGTAGATGGGTTCCTTTCACGGACGACATCACTGTCAGTACAAAGCTTCACGGACCGTCCAAGTGTCTATGAACCTTATTGAGTTTTAGGTTAAGTTTCAGTGGTTGAGTGATGGGTCGTGGACCTATTCACGGCCTGTGAAACCCTTCGTAAAAAAATCTTTATTTTTAATTTTCTCCACGGTTGGTTGTATGGTCTGTGAAATCCTATATTACAGTACAACCTTCTGTACACATGCACATGTACTCAAATGAAGCTTTTACCGTTTCCCTTCCAAGTTCCAATATTCGAGGTGTTACATCAGCAACTTAGCCTTTCAAAAACCACAAACTCACCCAAGTTATCAACATTTTACTCAAAGTTCTGGAAATTCAAAACATAAATAATAAAAGACTCGGGGTCGTGATCGGGAGGGGTAGAATATTAAATTCATAAAACTTTCTAAAAATCATCGACCGAATCATTACATATACTGAGATTGTTGTTGTTGTTGTTATTGTTGTTGTACTGAGATGCCATACATATGAGAAAGCTCATTTTTCTACTATTATTTAGAATGTTACATTTCGATATTAAATAATTTATCTCTTAAGGTAAATGAAGGCGTTACTGGTGTGTATTCTATTAACTCTTGTTGTTTCTTGTGTTTATGTTATTATCTGTTTTAGGGAGTTGGCATGTATAACTTAGGCAACACATGTTTTTTGAATGTAGTTGTGCAATCTTTCATGCACACTGTAGTGTTGCTTCAACTACTTGCATCAATCAATCATGTATTACATGTGATAGTAAGTATCAACTTAGAATTTCCCTTTATTTTCATCCATTTTTAATGGATTTTATACCTTAGCTAATGTCATTTCTTTTTGCAGCTCACATGGAAGGACTCTGTGTAGTTTGCATGATTCAACATCTAGGCTGACATTTCTATGTCTTGTGCCTTTGATTATGTCTTGCCAAAGAAAATTGATAGCACTTGAGAGGTATGCTTTATCATATCTTGTTTATGATTTAACATGAGAGATATCCCACATGTTACACATACACTCACTTGGACACGAGTTGGTTCACGTGAACCTATGCCCTAGTCATTTATTTATTTCTTTTTGTAGTTTTGTTTAATTTTACAACAAGGGTTGAAACATTCTTATCAATAAAGTACACAATAAACAATTTTCCTAAGATCGTTTTTAAAGTAGAAAAATTCATCGAGGATAATTGTAAAATGAATGCTACTTTTTTTTACAATTTGTTCGTCAACTTGTACTTTGTACCTTTGTGTCAACTGTGTACCTTATATTTCTTTGTGATCCTTAACTTTATGAAAATATCAGATTTTTCGTCTTACTTCGATGGGAACCAATAAGAAGATGCACACGAATTCCTTCCGTGCTTTCTATATCAACTTGAAAGTTGTTGTAACAATTTAGAGACAAAAGACAACATTGTGAAGGAGGCCTTTGGTGGTCGCCTTGTGAGCAAGGTAAGCATTTACATGTTTGTTCTCTGTATTTTACTATTGTTGTTTTTGTTTTTAATTTTAGCCGAGTGTCCATTGGAAATATCCTCTCTATCTCCCAAGATAGGGGTAAGACTCGCGTATACTCTGTATGTCATGCCTGTAAATGTGCAAATTATATTGTTAATATCAATATTATATTAGTTTATAAGTTATTTATTTGTGTAGATTACTACAACTTTCGAGTATTTATTACTTCATTTTCTATGTTTTAGAATATTAATAATTGTTACAAGTTACGTTTAAATTATTAATATTTATTTCTTTACAAAATTTACTCTTTTTCTATTTTTATTTAATGATCAAATATTTTAAAAGGTTCATGTCATAAATTCAATGAAAATCATTTTGACCGCGCAAAGCTGGGATACATTTATTATATATATATATGTGTGTATGTATGTATGTATATGTTTGTGGAAGTAAAATCAAAATACACAAATACTCAATCAGCCTTTTGAGGGTAATTATATCAATGTAAAAATGATAGTGTTACTAGGAAACATATAATGAAAATTTATCGAAGATTACTATTTCTGAGTTTTTCCCACCTTAAGATATATCATCTTGTTATCTTTTTTATACTCTATTTAAGGAGGGGCTCTTATCATTTTGGTTAATTTATGTCAAGACTATTAAAAAAAATAGAACCTACTTTTTTTTCCCGTTAATAATCAAATATCTAGAAAAGTTTTTACAGTAAATTCAACGAAATCATAGATCACGTGACATAGGCAAAACATGTATACTGTGTGTGTGGAGGAGAGGGGGAGGGGGGATTCAGGAGGCAAGAACTCAAAAAGTCACTCACTATTGATAATTAACAAACAATGCCATGTTTTTCTTGTAACAAATTTAAAAAGTCACCCAAGTTTGTTTATATATCTTCAAAAGTCACTCTATTAATATTTTATCAACAAAATATGAGATGTCTTTTTATTTAGTTTTCATGAACTTTCTTTCTTTTTGAATCCATGAATCAATAAACTACGATCTGATTCAACCCTAGACATAACCCAAATAAATAAAAACTTACAATAACTTGTAAATTTTATAAGAGTAGTGTTTATTTTTATGAATATAAATAAATTAAATCTCATATTAAAAAGAGAAAATATTAATTCACATAAATTCATCCATTAAAAAGATTAATGAAATGTACCATGTTATATGAAATTCGCATTCTACGTTGCAAAAAAAGATGAGTAATTAAAAAGCGACACGTGCTAAAATTTATCAAATATTTAAATATTTACTGCAAATATTCGCATTGATACTTACATTAAAATATATAAGTATGCCATAACATTTGGCAAGAGCAAAAATTACAATTTTCCATGTGATTATTTTGAGCAAATAAGTTTAATTTAAGTTATGAGTTAGGATTAGGTAGAGTAATTGATTATTGCAGTATGGATTGGAAAAAAAATGGTTTTGTATTGACTAAATAAATTTACTCGTTCAAATATTTAATATGGTGACTTTTAAATAGGTATAAATAAAGTTAAGTGACATTCTTATTAAAAATAAAGAAAAAAACATGACTTAATGAAATAATTATCAATAGTTAAGTGACCGTTATATCATGGTATTTAGAAAATCTTCTAATTAAGACAATCACACTAAATTTCATCACTTTTCTAGTCAACAAATTCCCTTTTCAAGTGTCCCCCCCACCCCCACCCCAAAACCCTATATATATATCCCTTCCATTTCAAAACCCTCCTACCTGTCAAAAGCCTCTGCAATAACTCTCAAGCAAAAAAAAAAACATCCTCTCAAAATCCCCAAATTCCTTCAAAATTCAAATCCTTATAGATTTAAAAAAAAGACACAAGATTTAGTGCTTTTCTTGATTTCATCTCCAAAGAAAAACCCCCTTTTTGTATTTGTTATTTTTCTCATCATTTCAAATCACATCCTTTTCTTAAAAATCTTCAAAAATCAGTCTTTTCATTTCTCTTTGTTTTTGTTGTTTTCTTGAAATCTCAATGGGAAAAGTTATTGCAGAGAATCTGATTTCACCTGATCATCCAACTTTGAAATCCGATGATATTGAGAACAAAAATATCAATTTTTCATTAGTGAAAATTGAAGTTGAAGAAGAAGAACAAAAAGAAAAGGATTTAGGTTTGGTTTATGGGTCACCGGGTCGGATTGAATCTGCTCCAACAATGCTCACTAGTGTTGATTCGGATTCAATTGGCTATATTATTTCTTCAGATAGTAGTGGATATTCGTATTCAGATGGGGACGAATGGTCTCCTTTAAAAGGTGAACCAAGTTCTTCAATTGTGCCCATTTGCTCAACTGAGCCCGAGAATTTCAAAAAGATAGTTGAGAAAGAAACTAAGCTTATTGAGTATAAGCCTGTTAAAATAACGGTATGATTCAAACTTTTAACCTCTTTTAAGTTGTACAATTTTACAATTTTAGCCTATTTTTATGACACCAAATTCTTAAACCATTAATTGTGTAGTGAAATGGAGTGCGCTAACTACTTTTAAGCTATTCCAAGGAATACAAATTATACTTCTAATCTTTTTATGAGATATTTATCAATCAACTACAAAGAGAAGTAGCACAGGATAACCACTTTTAAGCTCTTTTCAAGTGATACAATTTACTGTGAAATAGCGTGGTCTAACAACTTTTAAAATCTTTTAAGTGATCCAATTTATATTTTTAGCCTATTTTTATGCAATCTTAATTATGTAGTAATATAGTGCGGGATAACCATCTTTAAGCTCTTTCAAGTTTTACATTTTACAATTTTAACCTATGTTTATGACATCTTAATCGATCAACGAGGTAGTAATATAGATAGGGTAGGGTCTAACAACTTTTAAGCTCGGTAATTGAAAAAATAACCACTCTTATGATAAAAGTTTCAATTTAAAAAATATCCACTTTTCAGCATGGGGCTAACTAATATTAGGTATACTTTGCAATGTCATACATTACTAAACAACCTCTCTACGTTCATAAGTTCTACATATACACTACCTTGTGAGATTAGATTGAGATTTTTGTTGTTGTTGTTATTGAAATATCATACACACACACAAATATATATATATATATATATATATATATATATGAGATAAACCTCCTATTTCTACGATATGTTTCTTGTGTGTATTATAGCTATTAACTCGTTGTTGTTTTTAGGGCATTGGCATGTGTAATTTAGGCAACACATGCTTTTTAAATGTGGTTGTGCAATCTTTTATGCACACTGTCGTGTTACTTCAGCTCCTTAGATCTATCGATCATGTATCTCCATGTCAATGTAAGGATCAACTTAGATTTTTCCTTTTAATTTGATCCATTTTTAGTGTCTTTTACCTTAGCTTATCATCATTTCTTGTTGCAGCTTACTATCACGGATTTTGTGTAGTGTGCATAATCCGAGAGCTTATTGATGTTTTGATATTTTATGGGAGGTTTTCTGTCAGGCCGACGAAACTTGTCAGCCAATTGAAAAGTATATCCCGACCTAGTTATTTATTTATTTCCTTCTCAAGTTTACTTTAGTTTGCTTTATAGAGAACATTTAACTATCACTATGTACCTTATATTTCTGTGTGTTTCTTAACTTTGTGAAAAATATTAGATTTTTCGTCTTACTTCGGTCAGAACCAACAAGAAGATGCACACGAATTCCTACAGTGCTTTCTTAATCAACTTGAAATTTGTTGCGACTATTTAGAGACAAAAGACAACTTAGTGATGGAGGTCTTTGGAGGTTACCTTGTGAGCAAGGTAAGCATTTGCATGTTTGTTCTATCTATTTTATCTTAGCTTCTGTTCTCCAGTTGTTTTCATTTTTTAAGGTGTTTTGTAATGCATTTACTTTAGCCGAGGGTCTATAAGTAACATCATCTCTACCTCCCAAGGTAGGGGTAAGTTTTGTATATACTCTATCCTCTCCAGACCCTAAGTGTATACATTTTGTTTACATTGTTAGTCTGTTTTTCTCAATTTCCAGCTCTGCTGTTGCAATTGTGGTCATACATCTATCACACGCGAGGCTCTAATTGACATAAGCTTGGAGATTGAGGACGTTGACAGTGTACTAGACGCACTTGAATCTTTCACTAAATTGAGAATATTAATTTTTTTTGTGAAAGGTGCAAGACACAGGGGACATTTGGGAAGCAGCTCCTCATCGATCATGCCCCCACTGTTGCTACCCTACATTTGAAGAGATTCAAAAATAATGGGTTAGTTGCTCAGAAGGTAGGAAAGCATGTTTTATTTCCTCTGGAATTGGACATGCTTCTTTATACCAATGACATCAATAACGTGAGTATCTTCATTTTGGATTTTTACGAACATTTTATCTTTTGTTAGCAGGTACATGATGTTGTTTCAAAAAAATTCTTCTTTTAATAGGAAGAAATGAAATACGATCTCTACGCAGTTATAGTGCATTCTGGACCTTCAATCTCTTCAGGACACTATTACACCTTCATTCGTTGTGCTCCAAATGAATGGTACAAATTTGATGACGAGAAGGTACAAAAAATAGTAGAATTTCGTTGTTTTGTTAGAAAATCTATGTGTTTACGACAACTAACTTGATATTTTGTTTAATTGTTTTAGGTTGATTATGTTCAAGAAGATCTTGTTTTGGCAGAAGAGGCATATATCATGTTTTATGCAAAGCGAGGCACTCCGTGGTTTTTCGATTACAGTCAAACCCACAGGCCCTTCGTATGTTTTGTTACCCCCACAACTTCCAATGATACTTCAGATGGGACATCTCTGAAGCCTAAACTTAACAAGATTGAGGATAATGATTCTCATGGTAAATTCATCTTATACTTCTATTTATTCCAGAATACATGTTATTGCCTTACAAATTAAAGAAAGCTTATTTCTCCCCTTTTGAAAATACACAATATTCCACTATTTGCAACTACTTAAGTTCGATAAATTGTTGTTGTTGAGTTACGTATTTGCATATAACTCTCTATAAGAAATAACCTCTTTATATGTTCGAGGTAGATGTAAGGTCTGTATACACTCTACACAGTGAGTTGTTGTTTTTCACCTGCACAAATTCAACTTTCTTTTTTTCCAAATTAAGATACATGTTCAAATGCAATATTTGAAAGCTCATCTTCAAATCCGAATACATATCTTCTTTCAATTTTAATCAAATTGTGTTGATACACAAACTAACTATGTTTTTTATAACATCAACAGATCAGGTTTATTGCGAAGATCAATTGCAGGACGTGGAAATAAAGAAGAATGAAGAATTGATGGATACATTGAACTGCGACTCACATGGATGTTCTTTGAACGAAAAGAAGAGGAAGCTGGAAGATTGAAAATATTGTGCACTGGCAGGTTTTCCTCCTGTAATGGCGCGAATAGCTGCAACAACAAAATGAGTAATTTGAAATCATAAAATAGTCTTTTTGATATAATGCTTAAGGTTTCGATAGATATATTCAAAATTTCGAGTTTACTGATTTAAAGATAGAAATAATATCTTATTAGATTTTGTATGAGTTATTTATGGATACAAAAATGATCTTTTTGGACATCATATAAAATAAAATAAAAGTTACTATCTTTCCATATAGAGTTTTGGCTAGCTACTGTGCTCTATCAAACCTGTAATCAAGGTCGGCTCTGCGATGTAAATAATAAGCCATATGCCTTAGGACCTCAATTTTCGGGGGCCTCAAATTTTTAGTCAGAACTAAATCATGGTCAATATACAAATTAATAGTTGAAAAAAGTGTTGAACATAGTGAAGTGCATATTCTTTTCTACTAACTTCTTTAAAGTTTCAAGCATTACAACAAATTTATTAAAGTAACAACCAAATTATGAATTTCTTGAATAAGAATTTATGGTTATAACTCTTAATTTTATTAAAAAATTTCAACTTATTACTTATAAAATTATGTTAACAATTCATAGAATTATTGTCTTAGTGAAAGGATGTTTTTCAACCTATAATCTTACCTAAAATTAATTATTGTAAAAAAGTCAAAGAAGTCATTTATATAAAAATATATTAAGTACTAATTTGCATCTAAAAAGTGTAAGAAAAATTCATGTTTTAAATAAATACATATGAAGTTTGATTAGACTTTTATTTGCGCCTCCACTTATGTTGACCAGCCTCTACCTGTAATTAGAACACTACTCAGCTCCAGCCTAATTTCATGGTTGAAATATTCATTTTGAAATGGATTAAAAAGGAATATATTATAAATAAGTTAAAACGGATAAAGTAATACTTTACTGAAAAATGATTTTCTACCATAGAGGTTTGTTATCACGTTTATCATACCTTTAATAGATTAGTCTTTATGAATGCATAAAATAGATAAACTTAAAAGTTAATATTTTTACTTTAACTACCTAAAGGTTGGTTAGAACAAAAATACATTATCATGATAAATATAAGCCTATATATTAAATGACTTATTTAATGGTACAAGAATAGTATGGAGAAAGAGGTGGACCCACACTTGCAAGTTGGGGTGCAGTTGCATCCGTTAACTTCGAAAAAAATCATGTCTATATATGTATATCTATCTTAAGAAACTGACAAAAAAATTAGTATATAATCAGTATTGTATCCATCAAAAGCATATGAGTACCCTTGTGATGTAAGTACAAGCTAGGGGAACCACCCTTGAGACAAGTGTTCAAATCCAGCTAAAGCCCTTTTTTACTATTTTAATTTTAAGTTTAGATAGGTAATAATAATATTTTCAGTATAATTTCATAAGTGGGGTATGAGAATAGCATGACGTATGTAAACATATATTTCTATCTTTGTGAGGTATAGAGATTGTTTCTAATAGACCCTTGACTTAGAAGAACAGTTATTGAAACATAATTGCAAGAATAATATAACATCAAAATAACAATAAAAAATAATAAGAAAAAATAATGGTAGTAAAGAGGAAAGATAGACACCTACAAGGAACAAGTAACAATTAATAAAACAATCAAGTAAAAAACATACTCACGTAATAAATAATAATAATAATAATAAAGAGAGAATTATCAGAAGAGACTAATATAACCCCTACCCCCACCCCGACTCTTCCCCTTAAAAGTGCTATAAAACTTGGCTACTTACAAAACCTCTACCATAATTCTCAACATTCAAATTTTTCAATATATAGAATCACATCCTCAGTCAATTGAAACAAATAGTAAAGGCTAACTAATTTAACGTAGTTATCAATATTCATTTTTATAAGAAAAATCTACTCTTTTAGTTTTTATCTTTACATAATTAGATATTTAGAAAAGCTATATTTTAGATTGCACGGAGCAAGTTTACTAGTTTTATAAATATGATGTATGTGGAAGAGGATTTAACTAGTTGCATTTTACATAAATATATATATATATATATATATATGTTATAGTGTATGTGTGTGTGATGAGTATTAAATAGTGTAGGGTTCTTAACTTTATCAATTCATAAGACTCAAATACTTTAGAAAGAGAAATTAATCTTGAGAAGATAACTATATCGATTAAACATTGATGACGTTATCTTGGACAATTTATGGAGAAAATTTAACAAATATTACTACTTTGTTGTTTTCCTGGAGACACGTCACCATGAAATTTTTCTATTGTAATATCCCGCCTTAGAAAGAGCTAGATTTAGAAAGAACTAATTTAGAAAGAACTAATTGGAGATTTGTTCAAGTTAAACTTAAGTTGTGAGTTTTTGGTCAACTTCAAACGACCATAACTTTTAGCACATGATGTGTTAGGTGGCCCATAAGATATCAAATGAAAGGTCTCTAAGTCCTCTTTCCAACACCGTTGAGTTTGCTAAAATCTAAGTTCGGATGAGGGAGATATGCCCGTTTGAGTTCAGCCTGTTCAATTAAGGAAAGTTACCCAAATTAATGAGTGGTATTTTAGTCTTTTCCTTACCCCATAAGCTTTGAGCGTTTTTAGTAATATTTGGGGGTCTAAACTGATTTGGTTCGTTTTCACAATCCTAAAATACGCTTAGGGTTTTGAGAGGAGTTCTAGAGGAGAAAATAGGAAAGATTCAAGGTGTTCGTCAAGATTCTTGAGATTTATCAAGGAATTTCGCCAAGGGTTTGATCCCACAGAGGTACGTAAGTTGTTCATAGTGATGGGTATATTCACCCTCACCCCAATCATGACTTTCTTGAGTTAATTGTTTCCATGATAATCCATGAATTGAAATTCTTGATTAGTTCTTGAAGTTTCATTCATAAATCTTTATTATTGAGGTTTTGATGAGTTCTTGAGATGAATGTTAGGAGTTTGAGGGTTGATTATGAGTGTATTTCCATTTACTATGGTTGGGTATTCGAATCTAAGAGAGTTTGGAAGAAACCATTCAATTCTACTATTTGGTGAGCCTCATTGCTTTCGGAGGATCCCTTATTTATTTCTGTTATTTCAGTTTTGTTAGGATGATAGGGGAACTTGTACCGACATCCCTCATTGTATTAGAGGCTTCATAGATAGATAGTAGTAGTTAATGAGTCTGTTTCATTTCCTTATTGCTTTTTAAGCATAACTTAGTGGATCCACTTAGTTGAGGATGTCTTATACTCCGGCAAGGTAGAGAATAATTCTGGCAGTGTGGGCGAGATGTTGTATCATCACATAGCTCATAGTGATGGTTGTCGGTTAGATAATCTCCCAACTTGAGTTATTTTGTATCTTTACATACAAATTGAGTTATCATTGTATTTTTAAATACTTTGAGCTATTATCTACTGTTTTAAAAGCTTTTTTTTATAATGCATCTTTATTATTGCTTTATATTGAACTGAGTTGAGCATCCCTGAGTTTGAGTATCCTTGAGTACTTCTGAGATAAGGAAATTTTAAATATCCTTGATTATTCCTTGAATATTCCTTGAGTTGAGGTTGGGTTGAGTTGATATGAGGTAAGTATGTTCCTTTCCTTCCATCTCAAGGTTATGTTATGCTTTAGATTTCCTTTTGCATGCTCGTACATTCAATGTACTGATGTTATTTGGCCTGCATAATTTCATGATGCATATACAGAAGATCAGGGTAATCAGCAAGCGCTTCATTGATACCAATTGCAGTTCCAGAGTTGTTTGGTGAGCCTCATTGCTTTCGGAGGATCCCTTATTTATTTCTGTTATTTCAGTTTTGTTAGGATGATAGGGGGACTTGTATCGACATCCCTCATAGTATTAGAGGCTTCATAGATAGATAGTAGTAGTTAATGAGTCTGTTTCATTTCCATTTTTAATGTTTGAGACTCGAGTTGCCTTCTTTTTTCCAGTTGAATGTTCTTATACATTTCTGAGTTTATCATTTTGAGACATTTGAGTTAAAGTTTGTACTTTTCAGTTTATCTATTATGAGTAAGTCTTCCGCTGCGAGTTCAACCATACCAAGGGTTCGTTTGGGGACAACAATGGGTATTGAGTGCCAGTCGCGTCCAAGGTGTAGGCTCGAGGCATGATAAACTTGGTATCAAAGCCTAGAGTTCAAGAATCTTAGGGTGTCTATGAAGCCATGTCTTTGGATTCCTAGTTAGCGGTGTGAAGCGCGCCAAATCTATAATTAGGAGGCTGTGACATTGAGGAAACAATTCCCTTATTTCCTACTCTTTTCGTGTGTTAGAGTTCAACTCTATAAAGTTTCTTTCTAATTTGTGCTTGCGTGTATCTTTCAGATCATTCGTCCACGAAGAGTTGTTCGAGGTCATCCTGCTAGGAGGAATGTTGATCCCCAAGATCAAGTGGTACCCAATGCACTAGAAGTGCAACCCCAAGGAGAGGTCACTAATGTTGAGTTACGGAATACTATCCAGATGTTGAGTCAAGTGGTGACAAAACCAAACTAGAAAAAAAAATGGAATCGATAGGATGTGGCTGATACATCTAGAATTTGTAAGTTTGAGAATTAACCTTCTAGACTTCACCGGTTCAAGTGTCACTGAGGATCTGGATAACATTGTGGAAGAGTTTTAGAATGTGTTTGAAGTGATGCATGTTGCTGATGCTGATCGAGTGGAGTTGGTTGCATACTAACTCAAAGGTGTCACTAGGATCTGGTACGATCAATGGAAGAAGAGTAGAGGTGAAGAGGCACCAATTGTGAGTTGGGCTGCGTTCAAGAGTGCCTTCATGGGGGATTTCTTTCCTGTAAACTGAGAGAAGCAAAGGTAAGAGAGTTCCTCACTCTTAAGTAGGAATTCATGATTGTGCATGAGTATAGCCTCAAGTTCACTCAACTGTCCCACTATGCTCCACAGTTGGTTGCTGATATGAGGAGCAGGATGAGCTTCTTTGTGTCTAGGTTGTCTCGTCTATCAAGCTGTAACATCCCAGATTCTAAAAGAGGCAAAATACAAATTTTCAGAAGTTGAAGGCGCCACCTACGGACTGTAGGTTGACCCACGGACCGTATGTGGGGTCTGCGGTTGACCACCTGCAACCCCCTCCGCAGAATTGGACTAGGGTAGACTTAATACTGAGTTGGACTAGGGTCAGTCACCCTCATAGTCCAAGAACTACGTACCCCGTAAGTATATAAGTCCCCTCTGTGGGCATTATATTTAGTGATCACGTCAGTCATGCCTTTGTACTCCTGCCATGGTATATTAGGTCCTCTTGATGGGGCGTATACATTGGACTCCACGGTTAGCTCACATGGTTTTATGTCGGTTAATAGTAGCTCCCACAGTCAGACTCTAGTGCATTTGACTAGGTTATTCAGTTATATATCAATATTCAGTTTTAGTATTTCATGTACTTGGTCATTGCATTCAGTTTAGTTATATTCAGTATATTTCAACATCTTTATCATGTTCATATTATATCATCGCTCAATATACTTGTTCAGTTATATAGTTTTGTACAACTTTATCCTATCCTGCATGCTCAGTACCTTTCAAGTACTGTCATATACTCCGCGCTACATCTTCTCGTGATGTAGGTTCAGGTCCTCAACATTCAGATCATGTGTAGATCGGTTCCCGATCCATATTCAATAGTATCATTTGTGTGTCCTTATTCTTAGAGGATGATAGACATGTTTCTTATTTGTCCAGTCTTTCATTTCAGTTGAAGTTTTGCTAGAGTTAGCTGGGGGCATATCCCAGCATCTCTAGTCAGTTAAAGGGTTTTATTCAGACATAGTTAGATTCAATTCTAGTTTAGAGTTTGATCTTTTAGTTGTTATTAAACTCATAGTCTTTTATATTCACATAGTCTTTTATATTCAGACAGTATTGGATATTCCCTATCATTTCAGTTAATTATGGTTTTAAGCTTCCGCACAGTATTTCTTATCCCAGTTTATCTTAGTATTCTTATGATATGCCAGCTCAGGGTTAGCTTGGGGTCACTCGTGATCCTAGATCCCATGTTTACGTCAAGGGGGTAAGCCTTGGGGAGTGACAAACTTTGTATTGGAGCTTTAGGTTTAAGATTCCTAGGATGTCTGAAAAGCCGCACTAAGTAGAATCCCTTTCATGAGTGTGAAGAGCGCCACATCTATGAGGGGGATGCTACGAAGTGTTTTAGGAAAAACTTCACCTTCTTGTTATTCTTATCGTGCGTGGGTATGATCTCATTTCTAACTCGAGATTTTGTGTTACAGATCATGCCTCCTCGTACAGATTATGCAAGGAACACTAATGGCCACAACGCTGATGCAGTACCTCCAGTCCCCGACCATGAGATTTTGAACGCAAAGTTTCGGAATGCTATTTAGCTTTTGGCCCAGAGTGTAGCCAACCAGAACAATTTGCAGGTTCCAGTTCCTGCAAATCCTAGTGGTGGATTAGTGGTAGCTAGGGTTTATGATTTTGTTAGGATGAGTCCGCCTGAGTTTCTAGGGTTGCAAGTTGGTCAAGACCCCCAAAACTTAATTGATGAGGTCAAGAAGATCTTTAGAGTGATACAAGTGACTGGAAATGATAGGGTAGAGTTGACGTCATACCAGCTCAAGGATGTAGCTCCCATTTGGTTCACTCAATAGAAAGAAAACAGGGGTGAGAATGTAGCTCCTGTGACTTGGGAGTATTTTACCGGAGCTTTTCTGGACAGGTTCTTGCCTTGATAATTGAGGGATGCTAAGGTTCAGGAATTCATGAATTTGAGACAAGGTTCTATGTCAGCCCAAGAGTACAGACTTAAGTTTACCCAGCTCTCTAGGTATGCTCCACATATGTTTGCCGATCCCAAGGCACAAATGAGTAAGGTCCTATTTGGGGTATCTGACTTGGTAAAGACAGAGTGCAAAAATGCTATGTTGTTGGAGGATATGAGTATCTCTAGGCTAATGACTCATGCTCAGCAAGTTGAGGGAGATAAGCTTAGGGAACATGATAAGGACAACTAGAAGGCTAGAACATGCAACTATGAGTACTCTCAGCAGAAATTTGGTAGTGGAAATTGTTCGCAGTTTCAGCAAAGGTGTTCAGCTCCAGCACCTTCATCAGCTAGTGCTCCATCCCCCAGGTTTTGACAGGATCCGAAAGGTAGGGCATCAGGCTCTAAGTCTCAGGGGAGTGTTTCAGCTAACGGGACCTACCTAACTTATCCAAAGTGTGGTAAGAACCATTCGGATGAGTGTCTTAAAGGCAAGAAAGGATGTTTTAGTTGTGATCAAACTTGTCACAGATTGAGAGATTTCCCTTCTTCTAAACAGGGACAAGGAGGTAGCACTAATAGGGCCCAGTCTACAGCTTCAGCAGGTCACTCAACTCAGCAGGATACTTCATCTGGTACAGGTGGCGGTCAGCGCCAAAACAGGTTGTAAGCTCTCCAGGCTCGCCAGGATCAGGAAGATTTTCCTGATGTGGTTACTGGTACATTACTAGTCTTTCATTTAGATGTTTATGATCTGTTAGTTCCAGGGGCTACTCTTTCCTTTGTAACTCCATATATAGCAGTGAATGTCGGTGCCAGTCAAGAAATTTTTTCAAAACCTTATCATTCTCTACTCGAGTTGGTGATCCAGTTATAGCTAGACGGGTATACAAAAATTTCCCTGTCACAGTCTCTCAAAAAGCCACTTTAGCAGATCTTGTAATGTTAGTAATGGTAGACTTTGATATCATTCTAGGCATGGATTGGTTACATTCATGTGATGCCTCAGTCGATTGTAGAACTAGGATCACTCGTTTTCAATTTCCTAGTGAACGGTCTTAGAATGAATGGGTAGTAGATCAGTTCCTATGGGTCGATTCATTTACTACCTTAAGGCCAAAAAGATGATATCTAAAGGTTATCTCTATCACCTAGTTTGGCTTAAGGATTCAAGCTCTGAAACCCCAGCTCTTGAGTCAGTACCAGTAGTAAATGAGTTTCCAGAAGTGTTTCCAAAAGATCTTCCTGGATTTCCTCCTAAAAGGGAAATCGACTTCGGAATAGATCTACTTCTAGCTACCCATCCTATTTATATTCCTCCTTACAGAATGGCTCCAGCCGAGCTTAAGGAAGTGAAAGAGCACTTGAAAGACCTTCTAGATAAGGGCTTCATCAGACCCAGTATTTTTCCATGGGGTGCACCAGTGTTTTATGTTAAAAATAAAGATGGTCTCTCAGGATGTGCATTGACTATACGCACTTGAACAAAGTCACAATCAAGAATAAGTACCTTATTCCCAAGATTGATGACTTGTTCGACCAACTTTAGGGTGTTAGTCATTTTTTGAAAATAGACCTCAGATCCGATTATCATCAGGTTAGAGTCAGAGATAGTGACATCACAAAAACAACCTTCAGAACTTGGTGTGGTCATTATGGATTTGTAGTTTTGTCATTTAAATTAACCAATGCTACTGCAGCTTTCATGGATTTGATGAATAGGGTGTTTAAGCAGTATTTGGACTTGTTCATTATCATCTTTATTGATGATATCCTTATTTACTCTAGGAATGTGTAAGAACATGCGACTCATTTGAGGGTTATCCTACAAACTCTCAAAGAGCATCAGTTATTTGCTAAGTTTAGCAAATATGAGTTTTGGTTACAATCAGTTGCTTTTCTTGGGCATATAGTGTCTAGTGAAGGGATCCGAGTAGATTCTTAGAAAATAGAGGCAATAAAACAGTGGCCCAGACCCACCTCACCTAAAGATATGAGAAGTTTCTTGGGTTTGGCATGTTATTAGAGAAGGTTTGTGGAAGGATTTTCATCCATAGCTTCTCCATTGACTAAGTTGACTCAGAAGAAGGTTAAGTTTTAGTGGTCAGATGAGTGTGAGAAGAGCTTTTTAGAACTCAATACTAGGTTAACTACAACTCCTGTTTTGACTATACTAGAGGGTTCAGACGGTTATGTGATCTATTGTGATGCATCAAGAGTCGACCTAGGATGTGTGTTGATGCAACGAGGGAACATTATAGCTTATGCTCCTAGAAAACTTAAAGTGCATGAGAAGAACTATCCAACTCATCACCTCGAGCTTGCAGCCATAGTATTTTCCCTATTGATTTGGAGACATTACTTGTATGGTGTTCTCATAGATGTGTTCAGAGACCATAAGAGCCTTCTGTATGTGTTCACCCTGAAAGAGTTGAATCTTCGCTAGAGGAAATGGCTTGAATTCTTCAAGGACTATGATATGAATGTCCTTTAGCATCCTGGTAAAGCCAATGTAGTAGCTGATGCTTTTAGTAGACTATTTATGGGTAGTGTAGCACATATTGAGGAAGAAAGGAAGGAATTCGCAAAAGATGTTCACCGGTATTCTCGCTTAGGAGTTTGCCTTATAACATAACAGATGATGGTGTAACAGTTCATAATGGGTCAAAATCTTCATTTCTAGCGGAGGTTAAGGAAAAGCAAGACAGTGATCCTATATTACCTCAATTGAAAGGTGCAGTTCATCCGTAGAAAGTTGAGGTTTTCTTCCAAGGGGGAGATGGTGTGCTTCGCTACCAAGGTCGTTTATGTGTCCCTAAAGTGGGTGAGTTGAGAAAGCAGATCCTTTCAGAACCCCATACCTCTGGGTATTCTATTCATCCAGGGGCCACTACGATGTACCGTGATCTGCAAAAAGTCTTTTGGTGAAACGGCATGAAGAGGGATATAGCAGATTTTGTGGCTAAGTGCCCTAATAATCAATAGGTGAAGGTAGAACATCAGAGACGAGGAGGTATGATTCAGGAGATTAACATTCCTACATGGAAGTGGGAAGTGATCAACACGGACTTCATTACAGATTTTACCTCGTACTCGTAGACAACATGACTACATTTGGGTAATAGTAGACAGAGTCACTAAGTCTGCTCACTTTTTGGCTGTTAAGACTACATATTCGGTGGAGGACTATGCCAAGCTTTACATTAATTATATAGTCAGGTTGCATGGGGTTCCCTTGTGTATCATTTCAGATAGAGGTCCTCAGTTACCTCTCATTTCTGGAAATCATTTCAGAAAGGTCTTGGTACTCAATTAAATCTTAGCACATCATTTCATCCACAGACGGATGGTGAGGCAGAGCATACCATTCAGACCTTAGAGGACATGTTGAGAGCTTCTGTGATCAACTTCAAGGGTATTTGGGATGATCACCTTCCTCTTATAGAGTTTGCCTATAATAATAGCTACCATTCTAGTATTTAGATGGCCCCTTATGAGGCATTATATGGGCGTAGGTGCAGATATCCAGTTGGTTGGTTTGAGGTAGGTGAAGCAGCCTTGATAGGGCCATATTCGGTTCATGAGGCTATGGAAAAGGTTTAGCTTATCAAGGATAGACTTAAGAAAGCCCAGAGTCGTCAAAAGTCCTACGTAGATGTAAGGAGAAGGGACTTGGAGTTCCAATTTGATGATTGGGTTTTCTTGAAAGTATCACCTAGGAAGTCGGTGATGAGATTTGGAAAGAAAGGGAAGCTCAGTCCCAGATATGTAGGTCCTTACAAGCTATTGAAAAGGGTTGGTAAAGTGGTTTATGAGTTAGAGTTGCCAGCAGAACTAGTTGCAGTCCATTCAGTATTTAACATCTCCTTGTTGAAAAAGTGTGTGGGTGATCCAGCATCCATAGTACCATTAGAGAGTGTGGATCTGAATGATAGTCTCACATATCAGGAGGTGCCAATGGAAATTCTTGATCGTTGGGTTTGAAGGTTGAGAAATAAAGAAATCGCTTCAGTTAAGGTTTTGTGGAGGAGTCAGTCAGTAGAGTGAGCTACTTGGGAAGTAGAAGTAGCCATGAAGGCCAAGTATCCTCATCTCTTTCCTTCCTATTCCATTCCAGAGCTACTTGGGAAGCAGAAGTAGCCATGAAGGCCAAGTATCCTCATCTCTTTCCTTCCTATTCCATTCTCGCTTGAGGTAATAGTTCCTCTCCAGTCTTTCAGTTACTCTTGCGTAAATTCATTCTTAGAATCATGTTCCATCAGTTATACTTGCATTTTCAACATATTTGCATGTTCTTGGAACCCAGTTTAGTCAGCTTTTTAGTACTTAGTCGTACGGATTGCAACTCTTTCCCTCCCTGTTCAGCTAGTTTAGTCTTCATTTGAGGATGATGTTCCCAAAGGGGAGATAATGTAACACCCTAGATTCTAGAAGAGACAAAATATAGATTTTTAGAAGTTGCAGGCGCCACCAACGGACCATAGGTGGGGTCCGTGGTTGGCCACCTGCAACCCCCTCCCAAAACCCCAGAAAAATTCAGCTAAGTCTTGACCTACGGACCGAGGTCAGACCACAGTCTCTGGTGTAGGCAGTGGTTCAGGCCGCCCCCCCAGAACCCAGTCTTTGAAGCCAATCGATGGCTGACATGAAGGACCATCTATCAGTCCACGGTCCGTCTCTCAGGCCTGTCGGTGGCCCCGACATCTTTTAAGTCAGGGGTCGTTTGGTCTTTTCCTATGCGTTGGGTCCCTAAACTATGTCGTGTAACCCCTAAACTAAGTAGTTTTGGTCAGTTTGAGGCTAGTAACTTAATCAACACTTAACCTAATCAATTCATTCTTCAAAAATCGATCAAACTAGAGCAAAAGGAAAAGAAACAGTCGACTA